TCTGCTTTGTGGTAAGTTGTAAAATGCAGTTTAAAGAGGCAGGCCTCGTATCATGAAGCATTTATAGGAAGGATTGCATAGTTTTACCTGGCTTCCCTCGAGGTTGGCAGAAATTAGCTTTCCCTGAGCTGGCATCTTCCCGAGCTAGCGTGCTTCTCCTATGGGGTGTGCGGCCTTCTGTCCTGTCTTCTTGAGGCAGAGCTTCAGTCTAGAATCTGTTCACAAACTGTGAACAAATGCAACAAACAGTAAACAGTCTTTTGCTCGTAGTTAAGGTGCCTTGAATTGGGTGCGAGGGGCTGTTCTCAGGGGTGCTCTGCCCACGGCTCTGGCCCACTGCTGCAGGTGAACATCATATGGGTGGTCTTTGTGGAATGCCATCAGTGCTAGCTTAGTAATTCCTAAATGGGAGCTGGAGGGCTGCAGTGCTCAACACTGGATTATACGAATGTGGATTGTCCAGGAAATGCTTTTGATCCCACTCATCCACTCTCTACTCACGTGACCCACCTCTCCCTCTTTACTTGGTGTTTACTCATGAATGTGAGTGAGTTGTCGTGTTAGCCTAGAATAGCCTTACCCAAACTTTGATGGAAGGATGCCATTCACTTTGAAAATTATTGAGTAGCCCAGAGAGCTTTTGTTTCCATATAATTCCTATCAATATTTACCAAATTCGCAATTAATTAAAACTTAGATTAGTATTTATTTGATTCTTGTTTATTTTTACATAGCAATAATAAACTTGTACATATAAAAAATTGTAAAAAATGACTGTTTTCCAAAATAAAATTAGAAGTGTGAAATTGTTTTTACATTAAAAAAATCTCTTTAATATCTGATTTAATAGAATCTGCTGAATTTTATTTGCTTCATTCATTCTGTTGTGCTTGTTATTTGAAGCATATAAACAAAAAGCTGACCTTGCACAGATCTATAGTTGGAAAAGTGGGGGGAGGACCTCATGGACCCCTAAAAGCATCTCAGAGACCTCCAGGGGTCCTCAGACTGACCAAATGTTTAGAACTATTGACCTGAAAGAATGTAAAACAGGAAAACAATGTCTACCCCAATAGAATTTGGTGTAAAACATGGACTGTGTTACAAAGTCAGATGGGTGCAGTTGTCCTGCTTAACTGCTAGTCAGGAGCTGAAGGCCAGAGACTCACGGCTGTTCCCCAGCCTGGTAGTGAACTCAGAGGCCTGTCTTGCTGTATGGGTGGGACAGGAAATTGCATTTGGGAGTCTCATAGAACACACTGGAAGATGTGTTTTAGCTTGGTCAGGTTCGTGCAGGACAGGTTTTCTGCATGAAGAAAATCAATGACAGTTTCTGAAACTGCACCCTGGAAGCCTTGACCAGTTTGGGTAATAACAAGAGATTTGAAAGTGTGGGGTGTACAGGTGTTTTGCTGAATCTAGGTGGTGGTGGTGATTATTATTATTTGGAATTCAGCTTTCAGTTCTACCTGTCTGTGAGTTCCAAATTTTGTGAAAATTAGTTGCTTAGACAAAACTTTTCTTTGCCTCTGGAAGGCTGTCAGAAAGCGAGATTTCCGGCTTATGCGCAATGTTATAGTTTAGTAACGGCTCTGCAAAGTTGTTCCTTTACCTTAAATGTAACTTATTTTGCATTTGTGCTACAGAACTGTCACAAGTGTGCCCTTTTGTCCTCTTGTTTGGAAACTGGGTTTTTATAATGTGTATGGTGTATCTGAAGATTATTGCCCATTATTGAACACCATTCATAGCAACCATTTGCCTTAGGCATTGTACACGTACTCTCCACTCTGCAAACTATGTGTTCTGCCCCTTTTTTAAAGAGGAAGCTAAGGTTCAGAGAAGCTAGGTAGTCCATTCTGAACTTCATGTGCCAGAGGCCATTTTGTCCTTACTTCAAATGCCATTGAAATAAATGCACATCAGAGAGTTGTTCTTAGCATAAGGGGTACTACTACATGTAACTTTTTACTAGCGAAATGGATGATGTTCAAGAGCTGTGGTTGATGAGAAAGGCGTCCAAACCCTGGCACCAGGGACTCTGGAGCAGAACTTGAGGCCAGTGCCTGTCGGGCCTGGGTCCCCACACTCCGTCTGTGTGACCTGACTATGGGTGGCCTGGTTCTGCCATTAGATTGCCACGGTGCCCTCCTCTGGTTGAACCTTTCTTGAGAAGTGCTTGTTGCAGGCCTGAGTGCAGAGCCTGTGAGAAGCCCTATGTGGTTCCTGTTGCCTGTCAGCTTGCTGGTAAAGGTCATAGGTTTGGCAGAATTTGGCCCGAGGTTTGCTTTCTCATAGCGTACCACTCGGTAGCAAGGTTGGGAGGAAGGTGGCTATAGCTATTTCTGGAAGCTGCTTAGGGAGCTGCCTCCCCCTAAATGGTACATAATTTGCAGGGCGTATTGCAAGATGAAAATGCAGAACCCCTTCTTGAAAGATTATTAGGAATTTCAAGACAGAGACAACAGAGCATGAAGCCTTGTGCGAGGTCCTTCTAAGCACAGAGCCAGTGTGACTGCACAGAACACACCCATGAAGCCAGCTCTGCCCCCACCATCTGACCACTCTTAAGTGGCCAGTTAGCATAGGTCACTCCTCAGCCTGCTAGGCCCACACCCTTAGGGATGTTGTGAGGCTTAAATAAGAAATAGCCACTTTACAAGCAGGGTCAATTAGTGTGGGCTCTGGTTTGTGTGTGAGGTAGTTTGCTAACATGAGAGGGTATCTGATCAGCTAAAATGATAACACTGACAGATCAAATTCAAAATAACTAAATCTTCCCTGTATTCCTTTATACCACATGACTCCTGCATGTTCTGCTACCAGCACCTATTTGATACCAGAGGGGAGGGGGTCCATTCAGGATGGGACAGGAGCATCAGCAAAAATGCAGAGGTGGGGAAGTGCTCCATCTTCTTGGAAACCAAGCTGGCAAGGGTAATGGAATGAAAGAGATCATGGATATTTTTGAGACTATGAGGAAATCAATACACTGGTGTTGCCCAGTGCAGAAGCCATATGTGGCTATTAAGCACTTGAGATGTGGCTGCTCCAAATTGAGATGTGCTGTCCATGTAAAGAACACACTGGATTTCAAAGACTTGCCATGAAAAAAGAATGCATAATGTCTCAGTACTTTTATATTGATTATGTTGACGTGATAATATTTCGTATATGTTGGGTTTAATAAAATATCTAATTAAAATTAACTTCACCTGTTACTTTCTAATGTGGCTGCTAGAAACTGTTACATCCTGCATGGGGTTCACATTCCAGTTCAGTTGCATGTGCTGCTACCGATTGTTCTGCTTACACACACACGCACACACACACACTTCTGCACACAACCCAGAGGGGTCAGAGACCCCAGGAGCCCCCGCTTCTAGTGCCTAGGCTAAGCCTTGGAGTAGAAGATAAAGCTGGGAGGGTGGGTGAGGAGGTGAGTGCACGGAGCTCCAGGCTAACAGAGTGGAACATTTGTTCTTTGAGCACTGGGGAGCTATGGATTGCTTACTAGCAGCAAGGTGACTTGTGCAGGGTATATCAGGGAGATTTGTTGGGGGAAGAGGTAGAGGAGGCAGGAAGTGAATACAGAACGAGAAATCAGGACAGTGGTTAGGGGACTGTTGCCTTCCTCTTGAATCAAGTTCACATAACACATCTGGACTGATGAAACTCTTTCTCAGGAAGCTGAGGAAAAGCCCATGAAAGTATGTTCCTCCCTGTGCTGAGACCAAGTAGTTGCAATGAACAATTAACATGTGACCCAGATGCACCTTTTGCCTTGGCTGATCCAAGCAGGTTCATAATTCTCGCCTGGGCCCACGCTTGGCCCTATGCTTGGCCCTGGCTGCCAGCTGCCTGGCTCCAGACCTTTCTTCTCTTAATCGTTTCAAGTACTTCTCTGCTCCCTGGAAACAGGCACTCCCATCAGTCACGTTCCAGAGGAGGGGAAGAGGAACTTGACAAGTATCAGCTACAAAAGCCTCCTGGACAAAAGAAGTCCTTTAAGATCTATATGAATACCAGTTTTTTGTGAAAATAATCATGATGTTGAGAGCCTATTTTTTTTTTTTTTTTTTTTTTTTTAAACTCTTTTTGGAAGGTAACTTTTGTGAAAAGAAAACACCTGCTGCTCCTCAGGCTGTTTCAAAACACTGCCTATGGTTTGAAAGTTCAGAGATATGCATGTGGTGTGAAGCATTTGCAGGCATAATATGTGTAGTCTGGGAAAAGCAGACCCAGAGAGTGTTTGTAGCAAGGCGAGGCCTTTTAGCTGCATTTAGATGATGCTGGGATTGGGGTGGGCATCGGGTGCAGCGGTGGGGAGGAAGAACTGTGTGTGTTCCTCTTGAGAATAGAGGTTATGTCGAGAGGATTAACAGGTTTTTTTTTTTTGTTTGTTTGAGACGGAGTTGTGCTCTTGTCGCCCAGGCTGTAGTGCAATGGCGTGATCTCAGCTCACTGCCATCTCTGCCTCCCAGGTTCAAGCGATTCTCCTGCCTCAGCCTCCCGAGTAGCTGGGATTACAGGTACCCGCCACCATGCCTGGCTAATTGTTTGTATTTTTAGTAGAGACAGGGTTTCGCCATGTTGGGCAGGCTGGTCTCGAACTCCTGACCTCAGGTGATCCTCCCGCCTCGGCCTCCCAAAGTGCTGGGATTACAGGCATGAGCCACCGTGCCTGGCCAACAGTTTTCTTTTTTCGATTGAAGTTCAGCTATTTGCAGGACCGAAGGTGGTTCTAATTACTTTCACCTGTACCTCCACCAAAAAAAGAAATAAACCAACCATGAATAATTGCTGATTTTTAATTGAAAGCATTATTCCAGGAACAACTGGTCGACCTTGTTTGCAGAGGAAGTGGTGAAGACTGATTGATATTACGATCCAGCTTCTAAAGATTTTGCTGCTTAATCTGAAGCACATTGGATTTCTGTTTCGATAGGCTTTCTTTTTTTTGTTTTTATTATTACAACTAATATGTATTCTTTTCACAGGGCGAACCTTTCCTACACACCCATACTTCTCTGCCCAGCTTGGAGCAGGACAGCTGTCGCTTTACAACATTTTGAAGGCCTACTCACTTCTAGACCAGGAAGTAGGATATTGCCAAGGTCTCAGCTTTGTAGCAGGCATTTTGCTTCTTCATATGAGTGAGGAAGAGGCGTTTAAAATGCTCAAGTTTCTGATGTTTGACGTGGGGCTGCGGAAACAGTATCGGCCAGACATGATTATTTTACAGGTATAGAGCGTTCCTTATGTCTTTAATACAACCAAATGCTAAGAGTGTTTCTTATCCCTCTTCAGATATGCCTCAGGAACTTTTTCACCGTCGGATAACACTGTAATAGCTGTCACTGCTGATAAAGGACTCTGTGCTAGGCGTTATTCCAAGCGCTTCATCTGCACTTCCCTCTAATAACATAACAGGCAGACACTGTTCATTGTTTCAGTTTGTAGATTGGAAAACGGAGGCTCCAAGAGATTATAAATTGGTCCCAGTCACACAGCTAGCAAGTGTCAGAGCTGGACTGGAAACCCAGGCCTCTCTGACTCTAGGGCCTTCCCTCTTACCCCCATCAACCATGAGATGATTTCACTACCACCTCCCAGCCTCTGCATCTGCTCTTCCTCTGCCTCACCCCCACCCTTGTCATCTCAGGTTCAGCTCAAATATCGCATCCTGGGAGAAGCTCATTCTGACTACCCTGATGTTGTGTTCCCCACTTCCACCCTAGGCACACTACGTCGCATTATCCTGGCTCATTTCTTTTGCACAACACAGCCACTGCCAGAAATGATCTTGTTTCCAGAATCATCTACCTGTCTATTTTCTGATTTTCCAAAGCATGTGAACTTTAGGAGAGGGAAGGGATCTTTTATGGGTCTTGGAGCCAAGTCCCTAGTTTCTGAAACAGTGCCTGGGTTGAAGTAGGCACCCCATAAGTATTTGTTGAATGAATAGTTCTGTCAGAGAAAACCAAACGTAGTAGCGTATTCCAAGTACCATGTGCTGCTCTTGCTGCCTGTCAGAGGGAAAACTCTGGATCCTGCTTCAGGAATATTCCTAAATGTTGCAGCACGTGTTGATATGTTCATTTACTACCAGTAAGATACTGTGCCTTCGGAGCTTTAGAAAGTATCCTGGGAGGGAATACGTTAGAGCCAAGGACTTACTTTGAGAGTACCAAATTATGTGATTCAAAATCTTTTCACCTTGATCTGTGAACATGGACCACATGAATGCAAACACCATAGAAGGAAGTCAACTCATTCACTGAAAGATTTTGACCACATAACACTTTCCATCCGTACCGTGAGGTTCTTCCTACATTCCCTTTATTGACTTTAAAGACAGCGGTCACCAGGCAGTGGAATTTTCGAGTTTTCTATAATTTATGTAACACACAACTCTATTGGGGCTGGTGGCTTTGGTTGATTAGATTGTCTTCGATACGGGAGAGCCACAGCTGGTGCTTATGGGATTATATTATCTGAGCCTCTGAAAACGGTTTTATTTTCTTTTTCTCAGTTTAGACAGGACATACCCAACTTGGTGGATCTTAGCAGGATTCTGACCCTCTGTAGGTTATTGTTTCTTTAGGCTTAGGCCATGGGACTGCTCAGATCTGGGCTGGCTCTTGGACCTCTGTGAGCCTGTAACTCTTGGTGGCACTGCTAGGAACTGGCATGAGCTTTCTGCCAGAATCATGTCATTCTGTGAAGTTGGATCCACTTTAGTTGGAAAAAGTTTTTATTTCATCTTAAGACGCACACTTGTCTTCTTGTTTTAACTTGCCAGGGATCTGGATATTCCATATGTTATACACCAAAATAAATTATGGTTGTCCTGCCTATTGAGTAATTTCAGGGGTCCAGAGGGAATTTGCTGAGTGAACATGTACAGTGGACTCCTGCGGAATCATAAAATGCCCCTAATTCAGTCTTAGTGAAGAGACTGGCTTCTTATTTCTAATTCCTCTGGGCTTGAGTTTTGCAAAGAGTGTGTATTTGTAGGAGAATTTATGAAATGTTTGCACAAGACAGATGTTTAGATCTTCTTAGCCAAGAAATACAAGGGAACAATAAAAAGGAAGTGACAGAAGAAGACCCAGTGTTAGCGTCCTGGGCCTACACCCAGCCAGTGCCTGGCATCAGCGGGCACTCGGGAAGCACTTGTTGGATGAATTAGTAGCTAAGCTCAGTGGATCACAAGCCAAATAGAATGTTGGAAGTTCTAGTAAGTCTTCTCTCACACCCACCCTGTGAGCAGTAGACATAACTTTATCGCTATGGCAGATCCCTAATTCTCAGCCCCGTTGGCCGTCTTCCTGCAGATCCAGATGTACCAGCTCTCAAGGTTGCTTCATGATTACCACAGAGACCTCTACAATCACCTGGAGGAGCACGAGATCGGCCCCAGCCTCTACGCCGCCCCCTGGTTCCTCACCATGTTTGCCTCACAGTTCCCGCTGGGATTCGTAGCCAGAGTCTTTGGTGAGCATTAGTAAATCTGTTTGCCAGAACCAGCCTTCTCTTATTAGAGGGGAAACATTTCCTGTCTCTCCGTGGTGATTCTTATTTTTATACCTGTAGCTCTTACCAGAACAGGGTATTGTTTAGTCTAAGATTAGTCAGGGGTGGGTTTTGTGACTTTGGAGTCCTCCTTAACTTCTGATAATCACAGGGCTTCCCTAGATGCCTTCATCTTGTGGGATGTGGATCTGAGCCCCTCACCATGAGGCTCTCCCTAGAGCAGACATTTGGAGGACTTGGCTGAGGAGCCGCAGGTGTATATTTCTCATGAATTGCCTTCCTCAGCTGCTCTGAGTTGCGAGTGTTGATTGATGCTGACCGTGGGCCTCTGGGCTCTTTCTAGATTCCCTTGGCATCGCCTCCTCCCCTTTCTCTTCTTGCCCTGTCCTTGGCTCTACATTTTCTCCCAAGTCACTCTCTTGGAGATCAGTGTCAGGACCTTGAGTAACACCTCCTTGTGAATGGCTCGCCCTCCCGCCTCAGCCTTGACACCTCACGAAGGCCTCCTGCCCCCGCGCCCACGTGTCACAGCCACTGCCACTGCCGTGCCCCGCTATTAACCTTAGGTGGTTCATGTGTAAAACCTGCCTTTATATTCTTGATTTACCTTTTGAGAACATTGTCAAAGTTAGGTGGGTGTTCATACACAAAGCCTTCAACCTGCCTTCATATGCAGGGATAGGGCTGTCCACGTGGACATCAGGAACCGAGTGGAATGTTGTGAGCACTGTCAGTTTGGGCACAGTTTGTTTTCCCTCCTTCAGAATAAAAGTGATATTTTTTGACAATTCAGATTTTTTTTTATTGTAAAGGAGGAGGTTACTAAAAAAAGATAGTTATTATATGTCAAGTGTTTTTAAGCATCACTTGACAGCTTAAAAACATGTGATCTTTAAAAAATTTGTTTTTAGGATTAGAGAGCATCTTAAGGGAAGTGTTCAAAGACATTAAAACTACTTCAGGCATGCTTTGGGTAAACATCTTAAATATCCAAATTCTAGAAATCCTAAAATTTGCTTTTTAATATAAGTGGGCATTAACCCTTCTCTCTTTTCCTTTCCCCCAAAATACTAGATTTTTATTATTCACTTCTGTCTACAAGAACCTTTAAAGAGTTTCCCATTTTGCTTTACTGTAAGAATTCATGTTCCTTCTTTTCTGTCCCTGAAAAAATAAAATCACTAAATTAAAATAGATACAAAAAGCTATCTCCTGGTTAAGCATATCTTTAGTGAGATTTCATGAAGGTTTATACCATAGTTTAAAAAAAAAAAAAAAAAAGATAACTAAAAGCCTCAAAATTGTGTGCTTAGTACAGAAACTAAAATCTCAAGCTCTAGGCTTTAAGCTTTCTTGCCAATAACTTCTATGTTTTTGACTTTTCTAACCCTGGAAATTAAAAGAAAATTATTAATCCACTTTCCTTACATTTTCTCCACGTTTTAGCTATGATTTTCATATGGGGTCATGAAGAGGAGTGAGAATGGAAATGGGGAGGAGGGAGCACTGTTTGTTAATGGTTTGTAAACAGCTCAGGCATTAAATTATGTGGTTAGTGAAGAAAATTCTACCAAGGCAACCGGGCTGACCACAGACTAGAGGGGCTGAGGGGTCATCCCTGAGTCATCCCTGCCCTGGGGCCCCAGGCACTGGAGCTGCTGCTTGCAGAAAGTTCTGGGGCTCTGGAAGAGAAATTTTTCCTTCGGCTCATAAATGACATTAACAAACAAGCAAACTCCACTTTGGAAATGATAGCCCTTCTGCATCATTTACTCTACGATAGCAGAGTAATTCGAAGCTCTCTGAAGCTCATTCTAATGATTTCATAAATCAAAGCTGCAGCCTGTAAAGGTAAGATATTTTTCTGTAGACTTAGTAGGCAGTGGTGAGACTCGGCGTTTCATAAACATTATACATAGAGATGCCAGTGTCTACATCATTCCCAGATCCCACAGACTCCTGCTGTGCTAAGTGGGTCGTTGTCCACCTGGCCAAGGGCTCCTGGGATTAGAGGCAGGAAGTGGGATCTCCAGGCTGCACTGGGTTGTGATGTCACTTTGCAAGAACTGCTTTCCCCCCACCCCCAACAGTCCATCCCATCTTTCAGTACTTAAAAACAGAAAAGATAGGTTTTTACAAACCGTTTCAATTTTTAGCACTGATGACTTAGAGAACAGTGATGGAGATAGCTTAGTTTTGTATTTCAAAGCCTGCCATTCAGACACTATAGTCTTTTTTGGCCTAGGGCCCATTTCATTATAAGCCTTTAAGTCTGGATAAACTCTAAAAACACATAGACCTTTGTTGACTGTTCACTAATATATATATAAGTAAAATATTTCAGTTTGCACCAGCATAGCTCGTATATTAGTTAATAGGTTATCTGGCATTCAGTATGTATCTGCTCCTCGGAGGGGCAGCTGCCAGTGATGTGTGTGCCTTAACCTTCACACGGTACTCACACCTTGCTGAATGGCAGTTCTTCTGCCTGGTGTCACATAATGTCAATAGCCCCTTTCTGTCTTTTCCTAGTTTGAGTGCAGCAGGGCCCTGGGAGAGACGCTTGCCCTGTTCACTTTCTCATCACATCTACGTTTGGGGGAAAAAAGAAAATCTAAACAGGAGCTAGCTTGCTCCTGAAGGAGCAGGAGGCTGCAGTGTTCAGCCCCTGATTTTTTTTTTTTTTTTTTGGGAGACGGAGTCTCACTCTGTCGCCCAGGCTGGAGTGCAGTGGCGCGATCTCAGCTCACTTCAAGCTCCGCCTCCCAGGTTCAGGCCCTTCTCCTGCCTCAGCCTCCTGAGTAACTGGGACTACAGGTGCCTGCCACCTCGCCTGGCTAATTTTCAGCCCCTGATGTTTTTCTATAGGACGTGCTGCCACATAGATGAGGGAGGAGGTGGAATATAAAAATTAAGCATTTGGCAAAAAACACAGAAGCCACCTGCAATATAGTGAAGGCTTCAGAGAGGCTTTAGGATGAAAATAGACTGAAAACAAGATTGTTTCTGTGGCCAGGAAAATCTCCAGCTATTCAGGTAACATAATGCCGCGTGATGATGAGTGTGTGTTCAGTCTGTTTATGCTGTTGTTCTGCACAGCACTGTCATCTGCCTTCAGCATCCCCTTTACCCATTACTCATAGAATGTACAGGAGCCACAACTGGAGGGCTGCAGCCTTCCAGGAGAAAGTTGAGAAGGCTCAGCCTTGACAAAGACAAAGGTGGCTGGAAAAGAGATGCAGTGTAAGCTCACATAGGAAGATTGCACTTTGAGATCATGAAGTTTAGTTTCAAACAGAGTTCCAATACACAGTAGCGCAATAAGAGGGTTACTGAAATGTCCTCAAAGAAAAGTAGTTCTTTTATGTTCTCAGTGAATACAGTGCAAAGTAGTCGAGTCAGCTGAATTTAAGATTCCTCTTTATTTCCTGCCTGATAAAACCTCTTGCCTGTTTCTAGGTGGCTTGAAAAAGGAGAGGAGAGAAGGAAGAGGCACGAGAAAAGTCCCACTGAAAGGTTGTGGGCTACAGTGTTGTGAGCTAGGCTAGTGCCGCACTGTGCTGGGGGGCGGGGGGCTCCAGCGGTTCACTTTCTCTTAGGGAGGTTTTCAGATGCAGGACATTTGCTCACTCTTCAGTAAGGAGAGTTATTGTTTTTTTGTTTGTTTGTTTGTTTTGTTTTTTAATTCTAGAATGTAAATGTATAAGGATACTAGAAGACAGGCAAAATAAAAATAATTGGTTTGGGGCAGTGGGTTTATAGGTAACATTTTTCTTTACTATTGCTTTAAAATTAGATGTAATTTAAAAAATTTCCAAAGCCAAAAATCAGTACAAATTCCTTAAAGGATGTAGATGTTGCCGCCAAAGTGTCATCAGACAAATTTAGGAGGCCCTTCCTCCCAAGTAAAGCTTCCTGCGGTCCTTCCTTCAACTCTTCAAGCACATTCCTGCTTTGTGCACCCAAATGATCTCCCGATTTAAGACCTCCCCTGTCTCACAGAAGCTTCTGGGGCTGAGCTTTCTCAGGCCTTGGAGGGATGGACGCTTTGAATGGGAGGAGTAGTGGTGAGTGGAGCATCTCTGGCAGCAGGCATTTGGGAGTCTCTGGAGTCTCTGGCAGGAATCAGTCAGCGTAGTCTCCAAAGGTGGCCTTTCTCTGACACTAACTAGCCCTTGCAGGGATCCTACCCGTAACCTGCATCTCATTAACATCATCTCCTTACCAGTGCACTGACCTAGTGAGGAAAGGAACAAAAAGCATTCAGTGACTCCTGCTGTGCTCCAGGGGAAGTTAGAATTGCTTGGCTGGGGCAGAGGCCCCTGGTGATCTGGACCTGCCGGCCCCCATTTGCCCACCTGCCCTGCACAACCAGTGGCCCTGCCTTGCCAGCCAGACTGTTTTTCAGGCTCCTGCACACCTCCCTGTATTGACACCCTCTTTTCCTTTTATTCAGAGTATTAATCCCCGAGTTCCGACCTAGGAAATTTTCATTAGTTCTTCAAGCAGTCACCTTTCCGTGGGCCTTTTCTTTCCTCTTTGTTCTCGTAACACCCTGGGCATAACTCTACCGAACCAGAACTCCTTGGTGTCTCTGCAGCGTGTGCTTTGTCCTTTCCTCATGGCTTGATCCCCAGAGCCTAACACAGTGCCTGGCGTGTATTAGATGCTCAATGGATGCTCATCAAGTTAAAGTAGAAGGTACTCAGCAGAGTTCTCTTCAGATGTTGTGAATAGCATTAGGAAAGAACATTTATTTTTTAATTACATTAAATACAAACAGATTTAATAAAATAAATCATATGCCCAGGGCTATGTCTTAATTTTTTTAACATATCAATAAAGAGACTTTAAAACACATACACCACCCCCTCACCTCCAAATTTCCTTTCCTTTCCTTTCCAGGAAAGTCTCCGTTTGGAATCATAGGAAGCACTTACTAAGTTGATTTATTGTGAAAAACCAAGATCCTAATAAATCTCAGAAGATCTGCTGTTAACCTAAAGAGACCACTGATTTGGATTGTGTATTTGGTTGTGCTTACAAAAGTTTCCCAGTAATCGTTCATTTTAATTGGCGTAGATGTGGTACTGTACCTAATTTAAGGCACTCGTCCCTCTGAGAGTAAAGAGATCAAGCTATAGAAAAATCACTGGTGTGGTAGGGAAAGCCTTTCCCCAGGATCCCTGCAAAAAAGGTCTAGATTTTTGTTCTTAAAGATGCTCTCAATTTTTGTTCAGCTATAAATGTTCATGTATTGAAAGGAGGTCTAGGAAGTCTTACTGTCTAAACCACTGAAACTTCAGATTTACTTTAGAGTTTTGTTTCTGGAAATGTCATTTCTGTTTAAAAATACATTTTTGTTATAGTATTTTAGATCTTTTTATTTTCTGTAGTGGGAGATTATATGGGTAGACTATATTTTATAAACCAGATATTTCAGAGGAATATTCTTCAATTGGCCTGCCTTGGTATATGTTACACTTACCCTGAAAAGCTCAGATTTCAAAGACACAGTTCTCTAGTATGTCTTCCCAGCCTCAACAACCAGACTTAAGAAGGAAGTGAAGGATTCATCTTTCCCACTTTCCTGTGGCCACCTTGAGCCATCAGTAGTTGTCATGTTTGTGGAAAGAGTGTGGGCCCTGAGCTGGGTGGGAGAAGCAGGCTGATCTCAGCACTGGCATGGTTTAGGGCTGCACCCATCTCAGCTCACGTGGTTAATTAAGGGTTTTGTGATGGTCACAGAGGATCTTGGGGGCTCTCCTAGCCAGCGGGCCTGTAGATCTGTCCTCTCTCCCTGTGCTTTGTTCAGAAACTACAGGGATTCGGTTTCCCATTTGCACAGCAGCACCCAGTCTTTGCTTTTCTGTTTCTTCATGGCTTTTAAATGTTATCATATTAACCATCTTGAGAGGCATCCTGCAAGATTCTTCCTCTCACCTGCTTTTGCTGTCCTTGGTTTGATGAAATTTACAGCTTCTTTCTCTCTTCCATTATCTTTCAGCCAAAAGAAAGAGAGAAAAGAAATACTGACACTTACCTCTAATTATATTTCTACTCTGAGTTTTAAAATGTTTTGTTCTTATATTATTATTCTAGTTATTAGGTAACTTGCCTCAGTTTAGTCACCCAATAATTAGTTATCGTGGCTCTGCTTTAACCCCAGGACATTTGACTCTTTTTTTCCCCAGCGGCTTCAACTCTATGAGGAAGGGGAGATGGGGCTGGGCTTGCTGCTCAGCCGGTTGCCTTGGCCAGTGCTGCCCTCCCTCTTACTGTGCGGTCTGTATAGAAATTGCATCCGTTTGCCAGCCAGTCTAAGAACAAAATATGGCCAGAACTAGAAAGTAACCTTGACGGAGTTCTTTGAACTCCCTCTGAAGGAAAAATGTTCTTTATTCCGTTATCATGTTAAACATCAGTAAACTTGTATTTAACAATGTACTTTTGCAGTTGTACAGCTGTTTTACAGTTTTTAAAGATCTTTGAATTCTATTCCTTATTTCAAAACAGGGGAAACAGGGACACTTTTTTACTTACTCTATCTTAATTTCTGATGCTTTATCTATAAAAATCTTCTAGCTTGACCCATAAAAACATGTTTTAGTATCTCCTTTAAAACCCAGGAGCATTCCTGGAAAAATAGAATAATAAAACCTTTTTCCCTTTCCCAGTTTAACTTTTGAAGCATGTTTGAATTTTATTTTCAGAGTAAAACATAATTTTTAATGTTTATGTACTTTTATTTGCAGTACTGTCTTGACAACACTATCTGAGATACCAGGCTCTTAAAAATGAAATAAAGTTTGCAATGTGGGGCTATGTCTCCCATCCTCCTGCTCTGTGATGTGTGGAAAAGGCAATGGAGTGGTATTGTGTGAGAAACTGGTCTGGTTTAACTTTCTGCATTTCTGTGTTTTCTCAGATATGATTTTTCTTCAGGGAACAGAGGTCATATTTAAAGTGGCTTTAAGTCTGTTGGGAAGCCATAAGCCCTTGATTCTGCAGCATGAAAACCTAGAAACCATAGTTGACTTTATAAAAAACACGCTACCCAACCTGGGCTTGGTACAGATGGAAAAGACCATCAATCAGGTAGGAGTCAGTCCAAACCTTGCAAATGCTTCAGCCATCCTAGATATGTAGAAACTTAAATCTCTCTTAAGCAGGAACTGTTTCCTACCACTTTGTGTTCTGAACAGCATTCTGCATCCTGGCACGGAGGAGGCGTATCACAAACGTGTGGAATGATCGTGAGTGTGTGTGTTATGAGCATCATGGTGAAACGCCACATGGAAACATGGTAGCAAAGTTTAGTTGTAGAAACCAGCACAGGTTATCAGTAATTTCGTACATTTAAGAGACTTCAACTTTAGTAGCTTGGTCTTCTGAAATATGTATACCTGTGCAGTGATGCAATGTAGGGTTTTGTACATTGAGTGCTTTGATTTGTGTGTGTGTGTGTTGAATGGTATTAATTGGAATTTTCTCAGAATAATTTCTTTGATAACAAAGTTATGATAGGGAACATATATTCTGTGAATTTGTTTCATGATGTGTGTGTGTGTGTGGTTTTTTTTAACTGAATTCAGTTCAATATCTGTGGCTTCAGTACCTCCGGTTTCAGTATACAGTAGAACCATTACCCTCTGAATAGAGGCTGAGAGGTGAGTTTTACTGGGAATTACAAGTAAACTAGATGGTGAATGCCCTGGGTTGGGCATGGGAGCAGATTTTGATCCTGTACAGTCTAAGGAAGAACCTTCCAGTAATGGTTGCTGACAATGGAGGACTACACTGCTTAGCAGAGAAAGGGGCATCATTGGAAGTGTCCAGAGGCTGGGTAGCTACAAAAGCACTCGAAGAGATTTCATCATTGAGTCACTGCAGAGTCAGCAGTCAGGCCTCTCGTAAGCCTGGAACCCGCTCCAGATAGTCATGTGTCAGTAATAGCGATACGTTTTGAGAACTGCATCATTAGTTGATTTCATCATTGTGCAAACATCATAAATTGTACTTAAACCCAAGTGGGATAGCCTACTACACACCTATGCATGTTGTTCCTAGGCCCTACAAACTTGTACAACACATGACCACACTGAATACTGTCGGTAGTTGTAATACAAGGCAGAGTATTTGTGTAGCTAAACATAACTAAACATAGAAAAGGTACGATAAAAATACGGTATTCTAATCTTATGGGACCACCATCATATATGATATGTGCAGTTCGCCATTGACCAAATTGTCGTGATGCAACACACAACTGTATAACGAAAGCATAGAGCAATCAGGTAAAAACAAATGGTGAAATAAAGCTATTTTTGAAAAACCCTTACTCTGGAGATTTCTGATAGTCCAAAAGGAATCCATGATTCCAGTGAATTGCATCCACATGCAGTGTTTGTGATTTTCATTTGCTGCCGCACCTTAGGTGTTAAGCACAGAAAATGATGCAACTTTGGCCTGCAAAAGGAGAGGTTTCATATCAATTGTTAACTTTGGATTTCTGTTTGCACATTGCATATGCCCTTATGAAAGAGCAGTGCTTTTCTGTTCTGCACTCATCTTTAATTGAGAGCCTCTCCATCTCTTTTCTTTCCCTGGCACATTCTTCTTGATGTGGATAGCTTTGGCTTGTTGGGGCGTTGCTTTTTGCCAGGTTGGGTGGGCATCTAAGTAGACGCATGATCCTATTCAGTCCAGGCTGCACTCCTGAGAGGATATAAAGTGGTTCACTGACTGACCCACACTCACTCTACTGCAAAGTGGAAAGGCAGGGGTTCAAACTCAAGTCTCTCTCACCTCAAAGTGCTGTAGCAGCTCTCCTACACTGCCAAGAGCCTCTGGAGGTCATTTAATTTAGAGTTTTTTCCTAATTCTAATACTGACTTTTCTACCCTTTTGATTCTTTGGTTTCTGACATTTTCATTCATTCTTTCTTTCCTTCATTCCCTTCTTACAGCTTTTGTTGCATGTACTTACATTTTATAGCTTCTAGGGCAGAGACCCCCGAGAGCCTTGGTTACCTAGACTGAGGGCTGTATCCAGTGCTGACATTGTTTACCTCCTGAGTATTCAGCCTCAGAAAAAAATCCCATTCTCTCCTATTTTCTGTAAAAAACAAAAAATAAAACATATTGAGGGTTCTTAGGATACATCAGGTGCTCCTTCGGTGCTGGAAGAGTGGAAATGGACACGGCATGGGAAGAAAACAGCTGTGCGTGTACCTGTTTCAGGCCACTATTTGGCTATTTGGAAGTTGCCATTCATTGTTCCACTGCCTTTTTTTTTTTTTTTTTTTTTGAGACAGAGTCTTGCTCTGCTGCCCAGGCTGGAATGCAGTAGTGCAATCTCAGCGCACTGCAGTCTCCACCTCCTGGGTTCAAGCATTCTCGTGCCTCAGCTTCCTGAGTAGCTGGGACCATAGGCATGCGGCACCACATAGCTAATTTTTGTATTTTTAGTAGAGATGGAGTTTCGCCATGTTGGCCAGGCTGGTCTTGAACTCCTGGCCTCAAGTGATCCGCCCGCCTCGGCCTCCCAAAGTGCTGGGATTACAGGCATGAGCCACTGTGCCCGGTCTCCACTGACTTAAAAACTCTGGGACATAGGTATTATAATCCTATTCTTATAGATGAAGCTGAGCAGAGAGTAACATGCCTGGCCCCTTGTAGAAAGGCAGGGCCTATGGGAGCCAGGGCTGTGAGGTTGGAGCTGAGGTGTTTGAGTCCAGCCGGACTTAAAAGGTGACCTAAGATAGGCTGGCAGACATTTTCCAAAGAAGGCCAGGTAGTATATATTTTAGGCTTCACAGGCCATACCGTCACAACTGCTCACCTCTGTGACAGCTACTCACCTCAGCCTTCGCAGCACAAAAAATCCATGACCGCATGTAAGGGGATGATGGGTCATGTTGCAATAAACTTTATTTCAAAAACTGTGCAGCATGATAGGCTTGGTCCACAGGTGGTGGTTTGCTGAGCCCTGAACTAAAAGAGAAGGTACAGGAATGAGAGCAGAGAGCTGTTCTCAGAACCTGATGTGTTGAACATTTTGGGGGTATCGAGAGCACAAAAATTTGCATTTGGGGTCCAGGTTTTTATTCTATCAATGGTCCTTATAGAAAGTAGTTCTACCCCCAGGCAACTCTCTGCCCTCTTTCCCTCTGGTGTTTCTATCTGAACTTGACATCTGAATGTTCTCTGTCAGGCTTTCTGCTTTCCCACTGACCCCTTCCCTCCAGAGGGTGCTGTAGTCCTAAGTTCTACACAGAAAGCACACATGGGGTCCCACGTGATTCCTCTGCAGCCTTAGAGATCTCCCAGGCCCGAATCTTGGAGGTTTTCAGAGTAGGTATAATGGATGCTTCCATTGCAGATGGTGGAGCATACTGCCCTGTGTACAGATGAGGTGGGGCAGGGAGTGAGGCCATCTAGGTGGTCCTCTATGATAGCCGTGGTTCCATTTCATTAAATGCCCTCCCTGTATAGAGAGTCTCAGCCTGAGCAACTGGGACACAGCTGGATCCTGGATGGAAGAGAAGGTGGCCAAGGACAGGACTCTGGAGTTCTGGCTCAATGTGGACAGGCTGAAAGCAGCCAGGGAGGGCAATCCAAAGGTGACAGAGCTCAGGACAGAAGACCAAGGGTGTCTGAAGCCTTTGTGGCAGTGTACTTACCAAAAACTGTCCATTGAATGAACCATCTACATCTTCTGACCCGAGAAGAAGGGAAAGTCTGGGAATAATTAGTAACAGAGGAAAGGAGGTCCGTGTTACATTCTTGTCACAGCGGGTGCTGTGTGCTTGTGAAGCCTCAGCTCAGCTTAAGGAAGAGAAAGAGGAAGGGTGGCTTTGGGAGGCAGGGTAAATAGCCTATTTTCAGCATCCTTTAGGCTCCACTCAGAGCGTGGCCTCAGCCCAGCATTGTCATCATATCATGTCAGAGCTTGTTAGAAATGCAGCATCTGGGGCCACACCGCAGACCTGCTGAATCAGAATCTGCATTTCGAGATCCCCAGGGGATTCGCATACACAGAAACAGCTGAGAAACCCTGCTGTGGGCAGCTCTGTTAGAAACACGATGAACAAACGAGTCCCTGTTCCAGTTGAGCTTGTAGGTTAGAAACCAGGGTTCCTATGTTCAGAAGATACACCTCAAATCAGAGGCAAAGGTGCCTCTTCTGCCTGTGGGGGAGCCGTCCCTTCTCGGGCAGTTTGCACCGTGGAAAAGGAGTAGTTTTGTACAAGGACACCTGGTACCATACCAGGAGGGTGGGGCATGGCGGGGAGAAGTGGTTTACCACTGGCGTTGTTGAAAATTGCTCACATGTGGTGGTAATAACAAGCAGACGGACTTTTAGTGGGTTTTATTGTTTTTGTAATTCACTACAGACAGTGCGCCCCCTTGTTGCTGATACTGAGCCGACTGTTTCCACCCTCCAGCCCTTGGTATGACAATGGGACCAGCAGATTGGAGGGCAGGGGGTTAGGAAGGCAGAAGCTCTGTGGCGAGTTCTACAAACCATCAGAGTTCATGACTTTATTAATCAGTGTCTGTGGACTGTGAAGAGAAATGCTGAGTCTACAATAGCAGATGAGCCAAGAACATAAACAGACAATTCACCGAAGAGGAGCCATCTAGTAAACAAATATGTGGGAAAATATTTGCCTTCATGTGTAATTTAAACTTATGTAATGCTTTACCCTACTAGATCAACAGGGAGACATTTCTTAATGCCCATACCCGGCACCAAGGGTATACTGTATGCAGAACATTAGCCTGTTGCTGATGGCAAAGCACATTGATTAGTGGCTCTTGGGAGGCAATTTGGCGATACATACCCCAAGCCAGTAAAATATTCATACCCTTTGACTCAGTCATCCCATTTCTTGTAATGTATCCTCAGGAAATAATCCAAAATATGAGGGAAGCCATATGTATAAGGATATTATCCTAGATTTGTCATTTATAATAATAGAAACTTGGAACTAGATGTCTAACACTCGATAACTGGATTAATATGATTATGGTATGTTGAGCTGGTAGAATATCATGAAGTGAGTTATATATAGCGACATGAAAAAGCTCTCATTTGATACAATGTTAAGTAAAAGAAAAGTGAGATAGGAAATTTTATGTTGGTTATGTTTAGAACTAGAAAAAACATGCTTTTAGGAAAGATGAAATGCAGCTAGATATAAAAGTTGTATTTGGTAATTTTTCTTTTATTTTTCAAGCTTCCAATAATGTAGCTCTATTAGTAACTTAAAATAGTTTTATCTTTTCGGCAAAACACCGAAAGTATGGGAATAGGTCATTCCTACCTTGGTAAGCAGAAGAGAAATTTTCTTCAGTACCAAAATTCTGGAACTTGCTCGAAAACCTTGAAGAACCTAAGAGCCAGGATGACGGGAAGGCTCTAGATCTCCAGTAATTACGACTCCAGTGGAATTGCTCTGAGATGGGCCAGGCAGAAAGAAGATGAGATCTAGTCCCCCTTGCAGAGGGGCCGGGTACCTTGCAGCTTTGTGTAGTGACCGGTGCTCAGGGAATGGCTTAGGCAAGACCCCGGGGGAGGTTGACACTGCACTTGTCCAGCCTCAGGAGTGACTCAGACCAGAAATGAAAATACCTTAAAGTGTATGTATCTTGTTTTCCCATCAACACCTAGTTTTTAATATTCGTCTTTTTTATTCATCTGAGACAACATACTGAAGGATCGGGTTTTTAATGTTAGGCCTTCCTGCTCTTTCTCTGGCTGAGAACTGCTCCTGGCAGTGGATCACCTGTGCTCTCTAAGTGTGCAAGGACAGGCGCCCCGCCCATCTTCTTTTATTTCCCCAAGTAACTAGCCCAAGGGCTGAAACCCTTGTTCAGTGACCCGGGTTCTCCTTTGACCAGCAACCTCATATTGCCATAGTTTGGGGTAAATTCAGGGGCATAACTGCAGAATGAAGGGCCTAAGAGTCTTGGCAGTCAGGAGATCATCAGGCAATTAAGCAGAGATGATTGCGACCCAGGGTAGAGATTAATGGAGGCCTGGAAGAGTTTATGGCTTTGGGCACTGCTGAGAGGCATTAACTTAACACAGAACATCAATCTGTAGGAAAAGTCAGAGGTTTTGTTCTAGGCTTTCCAGGTTAGGAGATCACTTAAAAATAAATCTTTATAGAAGAAAACAAGTAATAGTGTACAGGACATTTATTCAGCACCGTATTTATAATTATACATGAGTGCCAAACAATCTCAGTTTTGATGTTTGTGGTTTTTACTGTTCGGACGATTCAGAAGTTCCATGACATGGCATCCATTGATGATGGCTTTGCTGAGGTTGAAATGTGAGGGTTTTGTGGCAGATGTGTGGAAGCAGATCCCTCAGCTAAGAGCACGCCTGCTCAACCTGCCAGGCGTGTGCTGGGAACTTCCATGAGTTGCCTTGTTTAATTCTCATAGCCATCCTGGGAGGTAGGCGCTGTCTGCCCCAGGTGGGAGGCCAGGAACTGTGACTGAGAGAGGTTAAGTACCGAGCTCAAGTCATTCATAGAGTCGCCAGTGGAGTCCCAATTTTAAGGCCGACGCAAAGCCTCAGAGCCAGTTACCTCGGCTGTCCAATGGAGATGATAACCCCTGCTGACCTCATAGTCGCTCAGAAGGACAAAAGAGAATCAGTTCAATCCAGTAGAAATTCTCTGTCTCCCTCTTACTCCCCTCGCACACATGCACACACGTGCCACAGATACAATGGATTTTAGTTTTTAGGCATCAAATGACTTTTGTGCCTTATTAGTATTACCCACTGAATTAAATAAAAAACAGCAAGCTGAAAAATTCATCCCAAGGAAGAGAAAATAAGACTGTTGGGAATGGAGAGAAAGGAAACATAGTTTTTGAACATTGATTCCAGGGAAGATAGGCTAGTTTGAATGCCAATAGGATGCCATGAGAAGTAGTTTTACACTGATTTTTAACAATACTGGAGTTGCTTAAGGAAATGCAATAGAGAGGCAGTTTCTGCCCTTTAAGAGTCTGATTTCACTCTCTGAATGTGTGTTCTGATCTAGCAAGTTTTTTTTTTTTTTTCTTTTAAGATGGTCCCAGCTTGACTGTATTCTCAGATCCGTCAGATAAATGTTGGGGCTTCACTGCTGTGCTGAGAGGCCCTGGCCCCTGGGGTTCTCTCGTGGAAACAACTGGAAAGAAAGGAAATGCCTTGGGCAGCAGCAGCAGCAGCTGTCTTCTGACTCTGCTTTCCGCCCTGCCTTCCTCACCAAGAGAAAGTACAGACACGGACAGCTTGAGTCACTTGGGCACTCAGGGGTTGTTTTTCACACGTGTGGTGTTTTCGTCACCATTGCTATTGTGGGAAAGAAGACAACTCAGGCATCGTTTCGTATTCACTCATCTGTGTGGGTGACATTTGGGTTTTGGCTCATTTCTGCATATTTGTGTGCAAAGGAGAGTTTTTTAGTAAACAGTCCCATTACTTAGCTGTTCTTGTAACTCTGAAAACCCAACTGAACTATAATTAAACTTTGACTTGGTGACTGTGCAAACAGGGCTGTGATTCTTTTGTTTCTTTTCTCCTTTTAACCCATAGTTGATGTATCTAACCTAACAGAATTTTCAGAGAAAAGAAGTGAAATAAGAACTAAAAATAATTTTTTTTAAGTCTTTAAAAATGAGAGGTTTTTTTTTTTTTGACTTTTGGAAGATGAGTATCAAAAACCTGTACTTAATGTTACCTTGGAATTATTTCTAGGTGTTTCTTATATCCTTTTGTCCCAAGTAAAAGTATTACCTTCTCAGTGCATAGTTGTTCTTATTTATCACTTCTAGTACCAAGTATAGAGCTAAGCGTAGAGGAGACGCTTCACAGGTGCACATTGTCATGATTGCGGACACCTACCTGCCTGTGTGTGTGGGTTTTTTCTCAATTTTAGTACCTGATGACTTTTCTTTCTATAACAGGTATTTGAGATGGACATTGCTAAACAGTTACAAGCTTATGAAGTTGAGTACCATGTCCTTCAAGAAGAACTTATCGATTCCTCTCCTCTCAGTGACAACCAAAGAATGGATAAACTAGAGAAAACCAACAGCAGCTTACGCAAACAGAACCTTGACCTCCTTGAACAGTTGCAGGTAGAGCATATTTATAAAGCAGCTTCCTGAGTCACAGATATATGGTAGTTCATTAACTCACCAAAGGCAACAGCAGGCTGGGCTTTCCCATGACCAGAGGACCTTTCCCACCCTGATCTGTTTATAGTCGGGATCAAAGGTATCCTGGGAGAATGGGTCCTTTTTATTATGGAGCAGACAGATTGTCCTTTGCTGAGGTCAGACAGTCCCTGAGCTTTCTGAGAGGCTGTTTCTGCACTTAATTCTTTTAGGAGACAGGCCTAGAGATGAACTTGGATTCAGGATGCTGTGACCTGTTAGCTGAATGCCAGCCATTGTCATTACTCAAAGAGAATCTAAGAGCTTTAACTTCTATGAGCAAAACCAGCTAGGTCCACAGAGGGACAGTAAAGGAAGAAAGTAACGCAGAAATAAACATAACAAACCAGAGCAGATGATAATTCTTTGTGAGTCCTTGGTGCATATACAAAGATTTGATTAATGAAGGTCTCAGTTCCCCCTCTAGAAACTTCCATTTCAACACGGATACACTCAGGTGAGGACATACAGAAGAAAGTCCAGTTGAGACTGTGCATGCAGGAGGGTGTGCAGAGCAAGCCCTGAGGTGTAGCACGGAGACGGGAGCTGGCCAGGTCCAGCATCACCCCCACCCCCACATCACCCAGGCACACTGCCGAAAAGAACGCCTAACTGCGGAATGCAGCTCTTTTGTCAATCAGATGGCATGAAGCAACCATATGTTCTACTTTTTTTAATGTCACAAGTGTGTAGCAGTGCTGTCCCTGTTCAGGAATTGTTTTGAGGGTGTTTTTAAAAGTTGTTTTTGAGTGGCTGTGGATAAAAATACATATTTTTGCCCAAATTTTTTATGGTGTTCCTGGGCTGTCCTGAGAATAAGTCCCATTCTGATCTAAGCCTCTGATTTTTCTTCATAGAAAGATGAGCTTTGCAGACACGAGCTTGGCAGCAGGGTGAGAAAGGCCAGCCTAGTGAGTCAAGCTGTCTGAAATGCATTCCTCCCAGCAGGCATTCCATCCCAGCATACCCGATCAGATATGTGAAAGAGAGGAACAAGACTGAATGCTATTCCTGCCCAGCCCTAATAACTAGTCACATTCTGAAATTTAACTTCTTCTTTTCTCCTAAGATAGAGATGTCCTAACTGAAAATATGCCTGTATACAATTTAACTGGAAGTCTCAGCTGTGACTCAAGGGAAGTCTCCAGAGGATGAAGAGCCGCTCTGGCCTGTAGGGGTACACAGTGTAGGTGGTCATTTTAAATGGCTTGTAAGCCAATGACAGGTCCCTGAAATATAACATGGTAGAAACTCTTCTAATAAGGCTCACATTTGCATTGAAATGTTTAGCTTGTTAAGATAGGCAGTTCTTACATAAAAGGTTTGTTGTATTGGGTAAATGACCATGTAGTTTTTTGGTGACAGAGCATAGAAAATAATTCCATGCTGTTCTTGTGCTATTGTTTTTGTGAAGACAGGGAGCTGTGAAAAACTTCTTAGCTACCTACATTCCTCACTAAAGGCATCAGACAGTAATTGGTGATTACAGATGTTCGCCCTGGAATGGTCGTTCTCTTGACCAAGTAGTTCTGCACTTCTGAAAGGATCATTCAAAACTGTGGTCTCTGCCCACCCACCAGTAGTTCCTGAGTCCCTGCAGTGCTGAGTGCTGGGGACCACCAAGTTGAGTAAGACACTGCAGCTCTCAAAGAATTGGATCTAGGATTGTATTGTATTGATTTGTGGTGTTTGGATATAGTTTTTCCATGATCCTCTATGAAAATATGCCTCTCATATGTGAGAATCATGCCTCCTCCTTGTACACTTTTCAGACACAGACAAGGAAAGGTGTTCAATACAGTACTGAATTTTCATATAGCTTTTCTGGGGAGACGAAATACCAAAGTCAACCCATTTCCTACCTTTATTCTGTTCATAAAATTGTTAGAAGTATCAAAATCCCATTTCGTTCCCTGTTAAACACATGTGAACGTTGTCTAGACTCTGGAGAGCAAATTCTACCACCTGTTTTGTTCAGCAATATATCAGACGATTGCATAGACGTGCCAGATGGAACCAAACAATAATGCACATGGATTTGTCATAATCCCTACAAGTCATTGACGCCCACACTGAGCCAGGTGCTGTGGGAGACAGGACCATGTGTGAAAGAGAAGACGTGCTTGCTTCTATAAAAGCCTCAGTGTTACTGAGGAGACCTGACATTAATGCAGAATAGCAAATGACCATGCGAATTAATTCACTACTAACTAAGCTGCAGGTTGCACTTCGGAATGCAGAGGGGCTTCAAAGTGATGAGGGTAGGCCCTGAGCCAGGCCCTGACAATGGGTGGATTTTGAGGATCAGAGAGTACTGCTTAGAGAGATACCTGAAGCGGGGCAACCCCCTGCCCAGTAGGCTGACAAACTAAGGCTCTTGGTCCCTTTTTTATATTTTGGGTGTTCTAGTGGCCCAGCCAGAGCTAGACTTTTAGTCATGAATTGTCTGGCACAAGTGTTATCACATTCAAAAAAGTATTTTCTTTGTTTGAAAAATGAAAAAAAAAAAAAA